ACCAACTTCTGTGTCTGAAAACTGAAAAGATAGAAAAGTTTGTCATCATCATATGGAAAATATCATAAGGAAAATATCTAATTTGCAACAGTGGAAATCTAGTTTAGTCCCCACAATTTTGCGAATTTTAATTAGCTTTCTTTTAACTTTTCATTAAGTAAGCCATCAATAGATATAAGATCATCTCCTTTCTTTTTTTAACTCCGTGAAGGTAGGAACAATCATTGGGAGCAAGACCTCCATCATCTCCCCTTGGTGGGAATTGAACCCAAGACCTCCCACAAAGGAAAGACTTGGAGGTGGATGGTCATCCATTGGACTACACCCACCTTCCCAAGATCATCTCCTTTCAAAAAAATAGATATAAGATCATCACCACTCATTAGCTAATTACTCATATACCTTGACTAGGACTAGCGACATAAGCATTTGTCAAAATTAAAATGTACTTTACTGGTTAGCTATAACATCTTCCTCTTCATTTTTAATAATAATAGTGTTATATTTAGTAATTCTCTTGCGCAAGATATTACCTCATTTTGACTAATTAGTTTTCTAAAGCAAAAGGAAGAACAATCCTCCAATGGTAAGCTATTAGCTTTAAAATTACAAGCAAGTTTTCAACAGGAACCATTGAAGATGTTCTATCATGTTTTAGGGATTTTTTTCCTTTATAAAAAACATTTTATCAATTTTGGACTTTAAGAAAATCATGCTAAAATAAAAAATAATAATTTGAGATAAAAGAATAAACTTAGTAAATAAAATAAAAAATAAATAAATGGCATGCTAGGCTCTAGCTCATTTCAAATTAGAAAAACTATATTATTAATGTGAAAATCATGTTAAAATTTGTCTAAGAAATATTCTTTGTACCGATTTAGACATTTTATACGCCGGAGGTCGAGTGAGTCGCCTTGTTTGGACAAGATCATATTATGTTTGGGTTATATGTTTTTTTTGTTAGACCACCGTAGACAATAAGATAAGATAAGATAAGAGTGATATCATAATTGCAATTCTCTCTTGTGAGCATTATAAATAGATGACCCATGTAAACTTATTCACCCTCATTTAAAAAAATATACGGAAGTGTATATAATACAACCGCCTGTACGGTGCCAGTTGTACGGTCAATGACAATTTTGTAATTTTGGTGAAAAACACGGCTTCTCTTAAATCAGCATTAATGCAATATTGATGAGCATCGGGTCTATTCTTTTGAGTATTGGGAGCCTAACAATGAGCATAAGTGTTATTTGATTCATATCTTCAAATCCACTTTCTTTTTGTTACTTTTTTCGTTCATAAAAAATTATTGAATTATGTCTATAATCAATTCCAATTAAGTTCAATATGTGAATCTAATGTAGTATGATACGTGATGGAGTATATGGGTCTAGGCCCCAGGACCCACATACTCAGAACATAAAGCACAACCACTACGCGGTGCCCTCGTCGGCCAGAAGACCCTCGTCGGCCGAAGAGGGGCCAACCCAGAATATGATCTTGAGGCCAAGGAACCAGGGTGTCCTCGTCGGCCGTGCCCGCGTCGGCCGTGCCCTCGTCGGCCATGGGAGACTCACAGAACCGGATTTTACACTTACTCATTTGTACAGCTCACCAGTGGCTTTGTATTCGGCCCAGTAGCGGTCCAGATGTAAATGGGTCTCCCAAGCCCAAGGCTTGGGAGCCCAACCCGTATTTTTCCTATAAATAGTTCCTCTGGAGGTAGTTATGGGGTTACAAAATCATTCTATTGAAGCATATATTTCACTTCTCTCTCTAGCTCTCACTTCTCTCTAGATATATACTCTATCAATACGTTTGAAATGTGAAACATTTTAAAATGAGCATAAAGCGGTACCAAATGAGCATATATATAACTTACAAAATGAGTATCAAAAAATTCAAAAGCTCATTTGTGTATGTTCATTCATTTTGGGCGTTATACTCATTTGAGTTTAATCTAAAACTCAAATGAGCATAAAGCGGTACCAAATGAGCATACATAACTTACAAAATGAGTATTAAAAGATTCAAAAGCTCATTAGTGTATGCTCTTCATTTTGGGCATTATACTCATTTGAGTTTAATCTAAAACGCATTTCTAATGTATTCAATATTCGTTTGTGTGTGTTCATTCCTTTTAGGCGTACACTCATTCGAGTTTAATATAAACTCATCCGAAATTAATAGCAGCAAGAATTCCTGAGCAACGAAGTAGACTCTCTTGTCTCCTAAAAGCACAAGTTCAAACAACAAAACTGCTTAAGAAAAAGAGAAAAACGAAAAGAGTGGAAAGAAAGACGGAGGGAGAAGAGGTCCGGAGCTGCGATCTCAACCTCGAAACTCTCCACCTGCTGCTAGGGGTACACAACATTTGACCGCCATATAAGAGCTGCGATCTGCCGAAAAAGAGAGCCTCACGAAAGGCGGATGAAAGTTATGTTGGGTGTGTTTCGGAAAATAAAGAAAATTAATTAAAATAAATTAATTAAATAAAATGACTAGAGGAAAACAAGAAAGGAGATGAAGCAGAATTAGCCAAAGCTCGTGCTACGCACGATTTCCTTAAAACGTATTTGTTGCCTCCCACGGTGCTAGGAGCGTTGCAACAATCGTTTCCCAGGATACGATGACTACGAACTAATGTTTGAGCACACAAACAAGAGTTCCAGCGAACGAGAACCAACTATGAACACAGAAGGATTTTGGGAGTAGCTGGAAGAGTTTTTAGCTCAAGAAAACGTGAGGAAAGTGTTGTGCGTTGTCAAACCGTGTGTTTGTTGCAAAGCACCTGCCAGCTATTTATAGGAGGATTTGTTGTGTGTTAAATGGGGTGTTAATGGACCTGAACGTTGGACATCAATGACCAGTCCGTTGGGCATTGAATCGTTCATAAACTGTCCATTTAACGCTGCATTAAAAGAGAAGAACGTTGGGCATTAATTGTTGTAACGGAAGAAATGCGTGACAGAAGACCCCAACAGAACACCCCTTGGAGGGGTTCTGTCCGAAGGCAACAGAACACCCCTTGGAGGGGTTCTGTCCGAAGCCAACAGAACCCCCTTGGAGGGTTTCTGTTCGAGGCCTTCTGTCCGAAGGCAACAGAACCCCGTTGGAGGGTTTATGTCCGAAGGCAACAGAACCCCGTTGGAGGGTTTATGTCCGAAGGTAACAGAACACCCCTTGGAGGGGTTCTGTCCGAAGGCAACAGAACACCCCTTGGAGGGGTTCTGTCCGAAGCCAACAGAACACCCCTTGGAGGGGTTCTGTCTGAAGCCAACAGACCCCCCTTGGAGGGTTTCTGTTCGAGGCCTTCTGTCCGAAGCCAACAGAACCCCGTTGGAGGGTTTATGTCCGAAGGCAACAGAACACCCCTTGGAGGGGTTCTGTCCGAAGCCAACAGAACACCCCTTGGAGGGGTTCTGTCCGAAGCCAACAGAACCCCCTTGGAGGGTTTCTGTTCGAGGCCTTCTGTCCGAAGCCAACAGAACCCCGTTGGAGGGTTTCTGTTCGAGGCCTTCTGTCCGGAGCACTTCTGGGCAAAAATAAACGTTCGGGAAGAAAACAAAAATTAACCGTAAGAGAGAGCTTTTCCCTTTAGGAATCTTAACTCCTTAAAAGAGGCTTCCTTTTATAAGGGGGTGAAAATCCCTTGAGTTTTTCGGTGTGGGATAAAACACACTAGAAACTCATCATTTTCCCAGTTTTTCCATTTCAACGAGCGAACTTCGAGAATCAATTTCTCATTCACCCATTATCCGTTTTGAGCGTACCATATATCGAATTGTAGCCCTTAACAAGGACAATCCGAAACCACTTTGACCCGACCCAAATCGGAAGTGGACCCCACTCAAATAATTGCCCCAAAATGGCCAATTAATGCAATTTTTAACACATTTTTCCAACAAGTTACACAAGAAAGCTGCACTTCGTTGAAGACGAAAGTGGAGAAAAACAATCCCTAAACCTAGGAGAGACTAAATATAGAGATTGGGTGAAGGTTGAGTAGGGACGGCTGCCCCCTGCCCCCACCTTGAATACGTCCCTGTGCGTACGGTACAACCGCTTGTAGATTATACGTAGTAATGTAGTATTTTACCTTATACACTACTCTCATACTCCCCCGTCCCTTAAAACGTTGCAAATTTGATCGGTACGTGAATTAATAAAGTAAAAACTGTGTAATTGAAGTTTGTGTAAAGGAGAGAATTAATTGAAACCACAAATTCTTTACTTAAAAATAAATGTGACAAAGTTAGTGGAACATCCGCAAAATTGGTAAAATTTCAGGACGTTTATTGCTGCTCTTCCTCCAAGACGGTGAACATCCTGATTCCCGAATACATACGTAGTACTGTAAAAAAATGAACTTATTATGAATACGGAGTAATCAACAATAATGAAATATCGTATTCAAATAAAAATCAACTTGCTTGTAATAATACTTCATTTTAGATTCGACTTGCATTGACAATTTGATACTCTGTTATAGTTTGTTTATCATTTTAATATGATGCATGTTATGTTGTCAGCTCATCATCCTTTAATTTGTTATAGAATGTCTTTAAAGCAGGCCGGTAGGATTCAAAATAAATTGGTTGACGGATATGGCTGAGAATTTCTTAATGAATTATGTCTTTAGAATATGGTTATAAACTGAGGATGTTGATTGAGAACTTCATTATTTTACCAAAACACATACTCCAGCCAGAGTGAAATATTGATTGAGTATGTATCAAATTAAAGTAGATTTAATGGTGCCCATAAGGTACATATCTTTGTTCACGTGAACCAATCAAAATATTGTAGTTGAATTATTTAAATGAAAACAGTGATATAATTGGGTACAAGACTCCACTTTTTAATGAATGATAGGCACAAGACTCCACTTTTTAATTGGGTACCGTAGTTCTCACCTCAAATTAATAATATTATTAATTGAGAATAAATTGATTGAGTATTTATAGTACTAGTATATATTGATTATGTATCAAATTATTATTAATTTTTTATATATCTTCCCATAATTCAGTCAATTTCATGTTATCAAACAAACTTCAAGTCAATTTCATGTTATCAAACAAACTTCAAGTGTAAAAATGACTTATATATATGTGTACATAGACTGATCAATCAAATGTATATAAATTAAAAACAATAATCCCACTTACACTTTAACTTAGTCACAATACACAAACACATGTATAGATAGATCTATAACATGTACTTATTACAGTGCACCAGCGATTTCCTTAGTTGAAATAATGTTAAATCACTGCATAATAAAGAAACAATACACATATAGAGAGCCTACATTGCATGCATGCAGGTGTCGTCGAAATTAGCTTAGCTTAGCTAGCCAAGATGAGGCCATGGTGGGCTGAAGGGAGGGATATGAACACTTGGCTTTGGCTTCAACTTGTAAAATGGAGAAGGAGGTAGAAGTGGCTTAAATGGGGGTTTGTAATAAATTGGGAGTGGCTTTGGTTTAGGCTTATAAATGGGGACTGAAGGGATATGAAATGTTGGCTTTGGTATGGGCTTATAAATGGGGACTGAAGGGATATGAAATGTTGGCTTTGGTATGGGCTTATAAATAGGGACTGAAGGAGTATGAATTGTTGGCTTTGGTTTAGGCTTATAAATGGGAACTGAAGGAGTATGAATTGTTGGCTTTGGTTTAGGCTTGTAAACAGGAACAGAAGGAGTGTGGACTATGGGTGTGCTTGGTTTTGGTTTATAAAAGGGGAAAGGAGGAGTATATGGAAGTAATGGTTTCTTGAAGAAGGGCTTCTTGAAGAAGGGCTTATTGAGGAAGGGCTTTTTATCAAGGGGCAAGAAAGCTGATGTGCACAAGGCAGATGAGAATCTCACTTTCCCAGCTGGTTCAAACACTTGATGCCCATCTGGATTAGTCCTAGCAACAATCTTAGAGGCCTCAATTCCTTCATGAGCCGGGCACGGTGAAGCAGCTGAAGCGTCATGCAGCTGAGCATAACACTCCTCCTTCCCATCTTTCACAATCTCCTTTGGCAATGATACTTTGAATTTGCCATCTTCATCCAACACTCCCGATTCTGATCTCGTCGCCATCTTCCCGTTTTGAAGCTTGCAGTCGATTCTTACCCGGAGCTCTGCCATCAAGAACTCATCGTGATATAGATACAAACCAAAATATAAAGTAAGGAAGTATATTCTTACCTGAGAAGGCATGGCTAGACAGAATGTTGTTTTCCTTGCAATCGGCGCATTCTCCGAAACCGATAACCTGGATTGTGGCATCATCAGCAGCATAGCACAAACCCTGAACTAGGATCAAAGAGAGGAGAAATACTCCACTGGAAGGGGACTTGAGGAGCCCCATTGATGGAGGAAGCTAAGAGTTCGATCAGTGACCTTACCAATTGTCTAAGGGGCGTATAAATTTTGTTGTGAATTGGTATCACACCTCACAAGCACTTGGGTCATCAATAATGGTTTAGATATTTATGGAAGCTAAGAATTAATATAATGAAGTCTCAACTGTGCTGTCCAATCTATAGGCCGACTTATTAGGTGCTCTCATTTATTGGAATTTTTATTTTATGCTCCCATCATTTATGGTTGTAGTCTCTGAGGACTTTAGCCAAGGGCTCCTCTAATTGCACCATTAATTGCACTATTTTACACCAAGGGGGAGGATGAACATGAAGCTATGTGGATTGAGGACAACTTTCTTTCTTTCTAAGCTAATTTTTGGTGTAATTTTAGCATTATTCATATTGAGCCCAATCAGCTAATGTTTAAGTCTAGTGTAATTACTTTTCAACATAGTTCTACTTATATTTTTAGATCTGCACATGGTAAAAACCAAACACCAATTTGATCTAAGTTAGGGCGCTAACAAGCTAAACTAGAACTTGAGGGTGCCCTAACTCGAGCTTGATAAAGACATACTCTCTTGAATTAGTACTCAGAGAATCTTCATACTTTTTACTTAATGTGGGCTACAATCTGGCTCGAGTTTGATCCAAATATAAATTTTCTATTTTCAAATTATTATCAGTACTCTAAAAATAAATAAGCGTACTTTAATGTTATAAACTTTAGAAAAATGTTCAAATGTCTTATTTCACATTGCTATCCAATGTCAGAGTTACATTTATCTTATCTGAGAAAATTTTCTCATGATACAAATATGTTCGTTAGAAAAAAAAACTCATATCCACCATTGGTACTTTAATTGCAGTTTTTGTCACATAATCGATTCTATCATGAAATGTAAAAATGGCTGCAGAACTGGACCCTGAAATGACATTCAACTAGTTAAGTATGCAGAAATAAACCTTGAAAATGATATTCAACTAATTAAGTATGCTTTAATAGCTAATTACCAACTAGTTAAATGTGCTTCAACGTAAAAACAGAACCCAATAACCCCGCTTCACAGTTCACACCCACCCACCCCAAACTTTTGGAGTTATGCTGATTGATATCTAATATGTAGCTGGATTATTTAAAGAATACTCGGTATTATAATATGGATTATCAATTCTAAAATTTCTTGAGTTTAATCGTTGTTCTATCTCTCATCACATTCTCGGCTAATACATGTTGTAACACTATGTCAAAAGTGTTCCATGAAATAAACATAGTGTTTTTACTTGGACTTGAAAAAACCAAGCAAGACATCGACAGTCATAAAATACGAGATCAGACCAGATCATTTCTGAGCAAATTTAAATAGATCAGATCAATCAAACAAGATCAGACTAAACCAGAAAATCTGATACCTAAAATCAGTTTTGATCGTTCATTTTAAATCGATTTTAATCAATTTTAGCGGTCGGTTCAATTTTGGTTACTCGGTCATAGATTTGCGCTGAGCTTTAAAAGTTGTACTCGACAATTGCAGAAATCCTGTTTATTAAAATCAAAAGAATGTGCCCGATTCTAGTTTGTTATTTCCGTCCACCGGTGTTCTAAAAAGCGTAAGGCGTGTCGATGTGGCACGATCAAGTCTCGAACCTTTGAAGTCTAGACAGGTTTAGGCGAGGAGTAGGCGTAAGAATGAAAAATTGTTTTGATTTTTTTATCATAGTTTTGATTTTCCTACCGCCACTAAATACAATGTAAATTTAGATAGTATTACATAGTATTATGCAAGAACACCATTACTTTTTGAATTTCCAATGAAGTACATTTGTAATGTTCTAAGAATATCATTTTGACTTGGATGTTTTTTATTGGATAGAAATTTTCTTGTTTTATTTAATCTGATATGAAATTATTCGATCTAGTTTCTGTTCATGCAGATATTTGTTTTATGTGTATTTTTTCACTGTCGAAGTCTTGTCTGATTTGATCTGGTTGGATCTTGTCTAGTCTGTTTATGACTGGTATGTGTAATTTGTGTAACGTAATTTGATCCGAGACCTAAATCAATTCAATTTAAATATCCTTACTTTTCAAAAACTAGATTTGGAAAAGTAGTTAATTAGGTGATAAAAATGATAATAATACTCATATAATTATAATACAAAGTCAGGATAATATTAGTAATAAGAATTATAATAATTTGATCTTATTTTTTGTTGGTTAAATTGATGCAACATTCGATGTCCTAAGGATGTTTTTTACTTGAACTGTAATTTGCTGGTCTGGTCTGTTTTGATCTGGTCTGGTCTGGTCTGGTCTGATTTTTTTTTATATTTTTTGAATAAAGATTTTATTTTATATATATATTATAATCCATAAATAATTATATTTTATTCATTTATAATTACAAATAATAATAACAATAATGATAATAATAATAATAATAACAATACTAATAATTAGGGGTGTGCATTATCCGATTTAAACCACAAAACCGGACCGAACCGGACCGGAAAAACCGGAACCGGATCAAACCGGAATGATATCCGATCTAGTTCGGTACGGTCCGGTACGGTCCGGTTTTGAACGGGTGCACACCCCTAATAATAATAATAATAATAACAACAACAACAACAATAATAATAATAATAATTAGGGGTGTGCACTATCCGGTTTAAACCGGAAAATCGGACCGAACCGGTCCCAAGGCTTGGGAGCTCAGCCCGTATTTTTCCTATAAATACTTCCTCTGGAGGTAGTTGTAGGGGTTACAAAATCATTTTATTGAAACATTTACTTGCACTTCTCTCTCTAGCTCCCACTTCTCTCTAGAATATACATTAGTGAAACAAGACTAAAATAAATGTCATTAACAAAATATAGAATAGTATGTAGTTGCAAGGCTCCAACCATTGAAAAGCATTTAATTATAATAAAGATGAATAATGGCAATACGTTTTACATCGATTACATAAAAGAATAAGTCAATAAATTTAAAAACACTTGAGCATTGGAATTGAGCACGTTAGAAATCTTCTTGCATCTTTATGTGTAAAAGTATTTGAAAGTTAAAACATGAATTCATTCTTTAATGCATACAAGTAAAAAGAAACGTTAGAAAACACATGTAAATCAAGGCTACCCAAATATTAACGTCCCAACAATAATATATGCTATTACTACGTAATTCTTAATGATCAATTATTACATATCATATTCAATCATTCACAGAATCACAACTTAATATTTAAAATGGCGGATGAAAAAAATTAAGACCTCAATCGTATTTAAAATAACGAATATGATTGGTGAGGAACACATATACTCTAATATATATCCCAGGATTATCCTCTAATCACATTAGTCCGTATGTATCACAATTATTATGATTGTTATTATTACTTCACTAACGCAGATAACTCTTAATCGGCAGAACAAGTTTTTTACAAAACAATTGTTGGGTTCATTTCTTTTTTCGGAAAGTAAAAACTAGCATTATTCCATCAATAATTGTATTTAACATATCCATTTTAAACTTTAAAAGTAAAATTGAGAAGAAACAAAAACATGCCTGGTATGAATTTCCAAATAAATAATTCCCCAATTCATAAATCATAGTTATAACATGAATATTACAAAAAAATGCTCATTTAGATCATTCTAAGCTAGTCTGTTGATGAGCACTTCAAAAAAATCCAAGTACGATGTGTTGGTTTCTCCATCGTAATTTATCTATTATTGTGATTATTTTCAGGCAACTTGCAGAGTGTACTTGGGAATAAAAATCGAATGAAAAAGAATACCTGGCATTGAAGATTAACGGGAGCCGGTGCGTTGAGAAATTTTCGATTTTGACCGTGAAAATGGGAAGACAGATCTGACGAAGAAGAAATTGACTCCACCGGCGGGCGTAATTTTCATGGGACCGATCCGAGGAGAAATACAAAGTCATGCGTGGAGGAGAAAAGTTTTTTTTTGTTAGAAATAGAACTCGTGCTGATAACGTGTAATGAGCCAACATCAAAATCTCTCTTTCATTCACATGTAGCAACATATCTTTCTATATACAAAACGAAGTGGGAAGCCAGCCACTTTTCCCGCCCAAACAATGTGCTCTCAACGGAGTCCACTTCATCAGAGACTTATTTTACTTTAACTTTCAGCAGGTTTGGGGTCCACTTCATTTATTGATTTTTGTTTGCTTGAAGCAATGAAAGATTCAGCATTTGCAGAAAAGATTTTGTTGGGTCCGCTGTATCTGATTTTGTTGGGTCTGATGTATTGCTTTAAGTTTTGTTTAAATGAAAGATTCTCTAATATTGATACATGCAACGGATCGCAGGTCTGGGGTCCACTTCATATATTAAATTTGGTTGGCTTCAATTTTGCTGGAACCAATGAAAGATTCGACATTTGCTTTTAAGATTTTGTTGGGTCCGATGTATTGGTCAAACGAATCAGTTTAGAGCATTTAATGAAGTAGTTGGGGGTTGAGCATTTTATGTGGTAGTTGGGTGTTCAAACTTATGCATATCGTTTGCCTATAAAAGCTGACATCGGATGTTTTCAAACCAACACTCCCTTCACTCCCTTCATTCACTCCCTTCACTCAACATGGCAACAAACCCTAACGAAATTCCCAGAACATTGTACTCAATGATAAGGGACGTTGATCATACCAGATCAACATGGGCACTCAAAGTTCGAGTTGTGAGGGCCGTGGAAATGTCTGCCCAAACTAAAGGAGGTCCAAGAATGGAGGTTGTTTTCCATGACGAGGAGGTAAACTATGCTTTTGCGTTTTCCCATTTACTTTCGTTGACATCGGATTTTATATTCATAAGCTTTTTTTTTTACTAATGTAGGGTGAAAAGATACATGCATTGATTAAGAGACCCCTTATGCACCTGTATAAATCGAGGATGCTGGAAAACCAATGTTTTAGGATAAAAAACTTTTTGGTGCTCGACAATTACTATACGTACAAAACTACATCGCACCCATATATTCTGGAATTTATTAAAAAAAACACAGTTTTCGACCACCCTTCAGAAAACTTTCCGAATTTCATGTATGATTTTCATCAGTTCGACATGCTGCAGAGCCTAAGGGTTGTGAACGAT